CCGAGGTACAGCGAGTGCCCCTCGAGATTTGTCGTTCCGAGGCTCCAATCGGGAGTGGATAGCCGCCCAAAAGGACTAGGGGATGGTAACTTCGTTTTTCCTAGACAACGGCTCTCTGGTGAAGACGCTGGAAGTCTTTCTTGGTGGCAGAGACATCAACGGGTAGATGCGAGAGGCATGAGCTAACAGCTTCCTTGTGGAGAGGTCTAATAGACGGGCGAACGCTGCGGCGTGGCAATGGTGCTGATTAGGATAGCCGGGTTGCCGATAGGTCCACCAAAACTGTTGGCCTAAGAGTGCGTTGTGGTCTAAGTATTCAGCACTATCAGCTGTCACCTTAGACATAAGCCAGAAATCCGTACGTCCAAGGAACGTTTCCACGGAAGTGTTTCCAACCTTCCACAGCTATCATTTCACATTCCAGTGTTCGGGGCCTGTAAGGTCTGCGTTACTTTAAGCATGTTTTGCTTGTTCTGATCCGCAAGATGAGCTTATTGATGTTGTCCACATGACATGCAAGGTGCTCAGCTTCGGAATAGCGAGTTCCTATTCCCGAGAAGTTCAAATAAGGCAACTGCGTTTCCTTGCTATACATAATCTTGGTTAGTCCTTCCACACATCATCCACTCCATTTGATTGTCTTATTTGTGCTTAAGTCAAGTTCTGCTCTGTTCTTAAAGTTTTGTTCTTCCGCTCTTATCTCCTCCAACCTTTAGGTGTCACTCGACACGTTGGCGAAGCCCTCGGCGAAGAGGTCCATGTTCGGGGCTCAAACATCGTCGCTCTCGGAATTGCTCCCTGGGGTGTCGTTCAACAGCGCGAACTCCTCATCGGTCTCAATGTGAGTCGCAGCATGATGCGTTTTCAAAATTTTCTTCTAAAGACTCCATTAGAACTATTCCTAGTATTTGTTCTGATATTGGCTGCTGCTACTTTTTGCTGTCATTGAACGCCTTTCCGAATGTGACTATGCACTCCTAGTTGGCTCTCGACTCATCCTAAAGCCGGAGGTCAGTTGTCTTTTTGTGACATTTTCTGAGGTGTTTGATGCAATAAGTCACGCTCGAATTCAAAGTAAAGGTCAAAAATTATCTGATAGACGTCGAAAGTCTGGTTCATCATTAGTCTAACTCATAACTCATTATGTACAAGTGTACTAGAACCTAAAAGGCGAAAGTGGGAACGCGGTCAAGAGCACATAATTCGGTCATCGCTCCACGTTCCCCTAAGGATTAGCTCAAAGTGCTAGTAGGGAAAACAGACTCTCGGGTGCATAAGTCTCCCTCCGGGGAATACGGTGGGGTTACACCCTTGTGACGAAGGCGCATATCTGTCAAATGCGTCAAATTCTGAGCGTCCCACGCAAAAGGTATAAAGATTTGTGAGTAAGAACAAGATCCATCGCGGATTTATCATCAGAAACATTTGCAGGAATGGGTAATTAATGCACAGGGAGCTGCACAATTAACAGGACACAGTCGCCATGCTGCTTGATACCTATGTCACTTAATGTCTTCCCCTTTACCCGGAGAATATTTACCGGCTTGTGATGGCTAATGGCTTGGTTTCCGGTGTGCAGGTCGGAACTTTCACCACCCGTGCTGGTCTTGGTGTCCCTGACGTTAAAAGACACGTGTTTGTCCCAGTTGCCGAGCACGCGTGAGCAGTACGGAGAAATGACACTAATTATCCCATTTGACTAGACTCAGCCACACATTCAAATTTGATATGGACCGAAACTCTCGCGAGAGGTGACAATCGCGTGAGTCGCCAGTTGCTTGAATCGTGGCTCACGAATGCTCAGTCAGTAAACGAGTGCAACGGCCTTCCTTACCCATGCTCGTTGCTGAGGCTCGGTTTGGCCAAAACAATTCGCCCCTCGGGGAACGCACAGACGAACGCTTCTTCTAACGTCAGCGCCGGGGAGTCAGATGGCCGAGCAATTATCACGCTCAAGTCCGGCACGGGTCATGAAAGTTCAGCAGGTCACGACTCCCACTTCGGCCATCAAGTACTTAGTGCAATAACGGCCACCCATCCTTGATGAATTGGCAGCCGCAGTAGCAAAGCGATTGTATCCTATAGATACTGTAACGCCCTGTGTATATTAGTTACCCGTTTCTGCTAGTGTCTCTGATGATGGTGCGTCTGCAATAGAATCCGAAACGTCAGGTGAATAAAGTTCTTGGCCCAGGAATCGCATCTGCTTCTTCTCAATTACTTCCTAGGACTCGTATTTTTGCCCTGTATTGATACATATTTGTATTGAGGCAAATGTTTGCGTTCCAGGAACGTGTATATTGTGAGAAGAAGCTTTGTCGAACACCGTAATCATGATTTTATTGGTCTGAGCTTTCGGGCTCCTACAGGAGTCCATCGTCAAAGATTAGAAAACAGCAACAAATGGGGTGGCTAGTTCTGGCGTGTGTACAAAACAAC